ATTGTCAATGGCATCATATAATTTATATTTATATTAATTATCCACACAATGAAATGCCTTCTCATGCGTCGATTAATTTGAACGGTAAAGCTCACCGATTTTGGAGCTGGAAATTACGCAACAAAACTTGCTCAAGTTAAATCAAAATTAGCACTGAGAGAAAAGAATGAAACAGAAAATCAAGAATTTGAAGAGACAACCATTGAACAACATCCTTTCAATAGTTTCGAACTAAGAATTCATTAAATTCTATTTTGTCAAACTATTTATGTACATATCAATCTTTGTTAAAATTATATTAGCAACTTTTTTTAAAGAAATATTCATTTTAATTACAGCAAACAAATAAATCTTTTTTCTTGCTTATACTCATTCATTATTATTAATTTGTTGAGTCTAGTTCATAATTGATGAAGTTCACAACAATAATGATTGACGTTTGACTGTTATCCATGTCGAATCTAATACATCAGTTAAAGATCGTTTTTCTGATACTTTTATTAAGTGATTAACATCTGGTATAGATTTTTTATTATTTTGATCATGAATATTCATTGATTGTATATCATTTAAATGATTATTATTTGAACTTTGATGAAAAGAATTATGAAGAATAATATATGGAGCTAAAATAACAAGACTTAAACTAATCTTTTGAAAAAAAAGAATAAAGACTTATTTTCTACCAAGTATTTTGACCATAGGAAATAAACCGTCAATATTCTTGTTATCGACTAATTTCTCTTTTTCTTTATAACATATTTTTAACGAAGTATTCTGCATGATAATAGTTTCTTCTATAGTTTTGATTGTCTTATCCTCTTCAATTATTGATGGTGTTTGAATAGATAAATCTAAATATGATCAAAAAATAAAAATGCTGAAAGATAATGTATCAACAATAGTTACAGAAAAGATATTGTTATAATGTTATCGATGAAGACTTTTTATTTTAATTGTAGAAATATAACAATCATATTTTCGAGGAAAATATCTTTTTGTCAACGAGAGGTGCGGATACGGATTCAGACCAAACCCATATCCACACCTACATACCGCACACTCTAGGCTTCTATCAATTTTAACTACTGACAATGTTGATCAGTTATATTCTCGATCAATAACAGTGATTAAAAGTATGTTTGTCTATGCCTACCGATCAGTGTTGGAGCCAGGATTTTGGGCTAGAGGACACTCGGCTCGTTCTTGGCAAGATTTTTGAAAGATTTATTTTGTCTGATACAAAAGTGTGTTAATATTAATATTGGCAATGAAATGTTTTAACACATGTTTTATTTTGAGGACTCATATATGTTGTCGATATAAAGAAAATACAGAAAATATAAATCTCAATGCACGCAAAAGCATAATTTTGTATTAGAAAAAAAAACACATCTTTCAAAATTTTCGTTCAGAAGGGAAGCTGAGCCCTCTCAGCTTTCCTCCTCTATTCCAGATTCCGTCATTTATATAGACCGCTAGTTTCATCTCTCTTCATATGTTTTGAATATTTTGTTCGGGTGTCTAACTTTTGTAATTGCAAATAATAGGACGTTTTTTTCGACATGTATACCTTCAACATTTTTACTGTCGAAGTTATTTAGGTGATTTGTTTGAATAATTGAACTACGATGATGTTTCAATTTTTCAAATTGATCATTCAATTGCATTGAAGAACGTGTTAATGATGTTTTCTGTTGTAAAATATTTTTTCTTTCCCATGCTTGTACTTTATTTCGTCGTATTATCGTTGATTTTGTTTCATTATTATCATGCTTGTCTAAGGTAAAATTACTTGTTAATGCTGTAAATAAATATTTTTGATTTGAAATTAATTCTAATGGTAATGAAATATTCACAGAAGATGTTAACATCATTGACTTTGATGATAATGATGGTGATGAATAATATGACGATGGACAAGTTTGTAAGTCGATAATTGGTTTTGAATGATTTGAATAGCATAAATTTATTGATTGACAATGATTATCATGGATTTCTGGACCGTCATTATGATTTAATAAACCATTACGAATAAAATATTCATTTGTATAGAGTGGTAAAGATGATTGATCATCTATATTTAATTGTTGTTGTAAATATGGACTTGTTAAACGTTGTTTAAGTAAATGATTATGATTACATATAATTTCAGGTTTTATATAATGAAATATTGTTTTAAGTGCTTGTCGTAATTCAAAGAAATCTTTATTTGTTAAATTAAATTCTTTTAAATAAGAACTTAAGGATGTATAGGATGATGAATATGTACTTTTGGTGGAGATTTGTTGATGTATATACGTTGGTGATACAGATCGATTTTGATTTAATGCTTTTTGTTTATATAAATAAGTTTGTTTTCGATGATGTATATGATGAAGTGATGGTGATAAATATAAATTATTCATATTTAAAGAATATTTTTTATGTTTAATTATATTTCGTTTTAAATGTTGTTTTATGATAAGAAGAAAAATAGAGAAGAAAAAAATCGTTCATGAACAATAAAATGAATAATAAACTCGTTTATTTTCATCATGCTGATTTTTTTTTTGGAAAAATATCTAATGATAGTCCATATAAATACGCGCCTAGTATATTTCTTTTTAGTTAATTACAAGATTGGAAAACAAAAACAAAGTTATCTTATTATCAACATTACAAAATATGATACAGTTATCAAAAAGTTATTTTGACTTATTTTTTATAAGCAATAAATAATGAATCACCTATTGATAATTATATGCAACTTTCACTCTTATGATAAACATAAATGTTCGAAATGCGACATTAAAAATGCTCGTTTTATTCATCCCTATGAACAAAGGTTAATGCATGACTCATATCTACCTATTGTAGCATCTTTTATACTCATAGTCAAAGTAAAATATAATGTAAGACTATCTAAAAGGTCATCCATAGAAGAAGTCCCCGTAAAAAATCCATTTTTGTTTGATCCTTCTCTCTTTTTTTCAGTTTCATCGATCCCCAGCCGAACGTCTACTATAAAATAAAAAAGACTTTCAGAAAAATTCTACCTGTTCAAATATGTTGCTTCTGTTTTTATATATAATGGTTTATTAAATAAATATATCAAAAAGAGGAATGAAAACACGCATTTCATAGATATCAAACAAAAATTTTATATATAACAAAGGCTTTGGTTTTTAAAAAGATTGTGTTTTAATAATCAGAAATCAAAATGAGTGAGTTCGGCTAGTCTATACGATTAAGAAGAGAAGACATGCCGATTTTCTCCTCTCAGGTTTCTTTTTTGAGTTCTGTGTTTCTCTCTAGAAATCTTGGGTAAGACTTTCAACGCTTCAGAGGAAAAAGTAATCTATCTAACTACAAACTACTGTTTTTTTATTAAGGAAAACCAGTTGTTTTTGCTCAAAGAGAAACTGAATCAGATCATATTTTGAAAAGCTATATATTAAAAAGACAAAAGATAAGACCAAAATTCAAAAGTATGGTTTCATCGTCAATATATCTAAAATTCATTTCATTGATACTGAAGAATATTGTGTGAGAAATTCAACTCAATATCTGGACAGCAACTTCGAGTATCCATTTACTAAAAATGTTTTGATCAACTAGCTTACGAATTGTGTGATAATATCTAATCTTAGAATACATAAATTTCCAGTAGTTTTCATAAGATACTGATAGAGTGTTAATGAAGAAAAGAAGAATAGTCATGCTCACACTCGAGAAATAGTGACAAAGGAAAGTTTTCATGACTGATAAAGACAGTATGAAAAAGTTCCAGCTGGAAATAGTTTTCCTAGAAGAGACTGATGAATGAATAGTTTCTCTGTAGCTTTGAGAGACTTTTTCTTTTAACTGGTGTCCCTCCTAAGTAGAACCAAACGAAAGTTATAAGTCTGAGTTACTCTGAATTGAGTCGACTATTTGACTAAAGTCATTCATTCAAAAAAAAGAAAGGTTGATAATGCAACGCCGAGATCAGTGTCAGAAGAAATTGTTAATTTTCTGCAGGAAGAAAATGTAATCAGTGATTTTATCTTCAAAGAAACCAAAGTTCATATCAATCTCTTAATAAACTAACTAGAAAAATAATTTGTATTCTTGCTACACCGACACCAGTTGAACGTGTGGTTTTTTTAAAGTGACTTTTTAATGAGATCATATCGTCGAAATTTTTTATACGCTAATCTTTACATTATAACGTTTTTGAAGTACAATAAAATATTAATAAATAATTTTTGCTCATAAACACCTTTATTAATACTGATACTTCACTTTCTGATAGAACTATATAAAAAAAAACAGAGTTAATTTCACTGTTTCCAGTCTGTCGATACGACTATAGTAATATCACTATTTCATGTAGGACTGTTCTTATTTTTTATTTCTGCATAAAACCTAGGAACAAGATATTGTAACATGAAAAAATTGTTGTTAACATTCTCAAAAACAAAAAAAATAAAATAAACAGAAAACGAAACAAAATGGTAAAAATAAATTGACTCGACTTGACTCGAAAAGTGACTTGACTTATCGATCCCTGAGCAGAAAGTAATAAAAATAACTGAAGTTCAATAAAAGTGGCATTGAAAAGTCTAATAATGTTCATATTACTACTTGAAAAAATAACTAGAGTTGTTTATATCGCATAATCTTCGATTATTGCAATACCAAATTTATATTCAAATGATTCACTGAGTTCATTTTCTATTTGAAAATGTCCTTCGAAATAAACACAGCTTCAAAATCTCGTGGCAACTTGTGTGAAAAAAAAGGAAAATATTCATAACAAGTGTTTGGACGTTCATAAATGTTTAACTGACTGCTTTTCAATCTTTACCTGAGCATCTTTTATGGATGACTCTAACGAATGAATCACATATTTTGCGTATCAAGAGTTTGTTGTGTAATATTTAATCAGGTCATAGATGCTCGTCGTTCTCCATATATATATTATGTGCGAATTTTCATCAAACGAAAAAATGATTTATTTACAAAGCTCATAAGAAATGGAGAACGAATCTATAAATGTAACAGACTCGAATGTAGCTTCTGATGAAGAAGGAGTTGCAGCAACAGTTATTAGCAAAGGTAATGAATTTAAAAAAAAATATTATATCGTCGATAATTATTCTATATTAAATTATTTAGATGAACAAATGACAACTACCGTTCATGAAAATGGTTATGGATCTGAATGTAATTCGAGTTCGAGAAGTGAAGAAGACATAACTCGTTCAGTAATTGAAATTGAAGCTGATGCTTTTACACGTTTTATTGAACGACAATGTACTGAAGTTATGTTTGAATTACGTCGTTTACGTTTGGGTGAACGACCTGTAACTGATCAACCAAATCGTGAACGAATTGAAACCTTTGTAAATAATATTCACGAACAACAACGAAACATAAGAACACCATCAACACGACCTGTTATACCTAGTGCTCATCTCGCTGATATTGATGCATTAGCTAATCATCGATGTGTATCAGCAGCATTAAGAAGTACAGCATTTCGACAAGATCTTGAAAATGCTATTTGACATTCGATTGGAACACAAAGAATAACTCCAGTACAACAAATTCCACTAGCACTACCTATGCCACAAACTTTATCATCAACTATTATAGAACAACAACATTCACAAATTACTCAAAGCTCACCAACATTGTCAGTACATGGTGAACCACTTATTAGAGAACAACAACATTCTCAAATCAATCTAAATCCTACACATGAACCATTCAATATTGAAAGGTATTCTATTTCAATTATGTATCTATCTAACAAATTAATTATTTTTATAGACAAGAACGTGAATTACATGTATGGCAAACAATAACTCAATTACAACGTGAAATCATTGTTTTGGAAATTAGTGATCTTGTTCATGGACAATTGGTAATAAGTGCTTTGGAAAGTGATTTTCGTCGACATCTTGAACAAAATATTTATGTGAGTTAACGATAATTTAATATAAAATCTACATGTTCATTAAATAGACTCGTTTCGAACGAGGAGCACCACCTCAGCAAGAACAACAACCAGTACCAATAATTGCAACACCACGCATTCCACTTGAGTCTGCTCTAATATAAACAACGCCTAATACTCGTACTGTAAGTATTCTATCGAACAAACGATTTTCTCTCTTCATACAAGTCATATATATTTGTATAGTCTACTTTAACTATTGATGAATTATCATCACGACTTGATACCATGCAACAAATGCTACAGCTTATGTTTTCTATGCAAATGGACATGCAACGATCATTGCGTCAAGAAGCAGCAAGTGCTATTGTTAACAACACCTCAACTATGATAACAACAATAAATCAGCCAATGAATGCTGGTCATTGTACAATATGTTTGACTGCTATTGCCGATACAGTACTTTATCGTTGTGGTCATCTCTGTGTATGTTATATGTGTGGATTAAATCTTCGAGAAACAAGATCTACTACTGGTGTCAAATATCCAATATGTCGAGCTCCAGTTGATGATATTCTTCGTGTTTATTAAAGTAGCCGTAATGGAGAATTAATATAACAGAAACAAAAAAACACTAGAGTGGATTTATTTGGGGAGCATATTTTCTGTAAATAGTCTGTCTTTTTTTTGTGATACATTCACACACGCACACAACATGAATAGTTATATACACTGAAATAAAAGAAAAACAAAAATATAATTTCTTCTTTTAATATAATTCATTCCTTTTTTTTCTTTGTTGTTGTGAAACAGTTATTGATGTTTTCACATTTTCTTTTTTTATCATTACATATGCAATTATGGAGAATAGATGATATCTTTTGTTTTTTAATAAACTAAATGGCGTTTTCGTCGATGATTTTCAGCTTTCATTTGAGTATCATCCACTACTGGTGAATGTATCACTGGTGTTAAATTTTCATCACCTAATAAAAATTTAAATATAACAAACAAGATAGTTTTACATAAGATAAGATTTCAATTACATACTATTCTCTTCTTCAGCAAAATATCTCAATAATTGTTGTCTATTGATTGGTAACAAGTATTCATTATCAACAAGTTCTGAAGACGATTCTTCATCATCAGGTTCTTGATCATATTTATTAGCATACATTTCATATAAATCATCAATCAGTGGAATAAATTCAACGTCTTCATCATCAGCATCATCACTTTCTGTTGAAAAATGTGATTCAATTTTTTCTATTTTAGGTTGAACATTTTCATCATTTTTCAAAGATTGTTCTTTATGGTGTGATCCAAGTTGTTCATTAGCAAGTTCTTTTAAAAGACGACCAGCGATTTCAGTTGCTTTTTGTTGTTTCGCTTCTTGAGAATTAAGCGCACCTAAACATGCAATAATCATTGATTTTTCGATTTCAATAAATAACTAAGAAAAAAAAAAATTTACTGTCGTTGACAGGAGCCGAAATGACCAATGAATAGCAACAAATAATAGTAAAAAGGCAAAAAGAAATAAATTGCATGATTGAATCTCTGTAAAATAAAATAATGAAAATAACTTTTTCCTGAATAATAATGTTTTGAATGATGTACTCACAGTTACTTTTTTTTACGTATGCGTGAGACTCTATGCGCGTGTTATCGAGCTTATGCGTTCAAAAATAATGAAGTCTTTTTTTCTCTATTCTCTATCTCTAACTGTTGGTAGAAAAAGAATAAAAGCACTGGTGGGCGTTCAGGACGAAAATTGAATATATAAAAAGAAGAAAAAAAAAAGAGAACGCGAGAGAAAACATAAAAAGCTAAATTGAAGAAAAACGGGAACTACGTCATCGAAACGTCATTTATTTATTTCTATCGACAAACGCTCAACATAAAACTAGTCAACTCGCTCATGCATTCGTGCTATGTTAACTGCGTGGGTGGATATTTTTTTCCCGAGAACGGAAAAAATCTCGTTAAGCTAACAATACAGAATGAAAAAAGAAACAAGTAACACGCCTACTCAAAAAAAAGAAACCAGATGGTTCCCTATGAACGAACAGTCGACTGAATTCAGAAGAACAATTATCATGGCATTAAGAGAAATTTTAAATGGAAAAAGAAAAATAGAAAAATTATTTATGATCTATAATAGTCTTTTTTTTCTATTATGTACAATATTGAAATAAGTTTGCATGACTTCCGCTACCATCAACTTAATGAAAAGGATAGTATTTAAAATTGACAATTGAAAATTAAAAGATCTTGTTTTTTTAGAACAAATATATAGATACTTCATATATTGTCATTTAGAATAAAATCAGTTTTTTTCAAATGGAAAATCATCACAAAAATAAAAAGAAAACATCTTTGATCTATTTTGAGAATACTTATAATTGAATTATTGTTCTGTAATTTTTTTCTCAATCATATTCAATTTGTTATGAATGATGCATGAATTTATCTTTGATATTACTTAATGAAAATGGAAACAAATAGAAAAAGAATTTTTTAAGATTTATTTCAACGTAGGATTACTCAGCTTCGTCGACATTCTGTGGGCGATAATTTAGAAGTGAAACATAAAAAGACATGTTGCTCGTATGATTATTACACATAATGTCTAATAATTTTCAAATTAAAAAAACTTAATATTTTAAGTAGAAAAAAAAACTTCGCCTTTTGTTTTTACATTCAGAATCACTTAAAAGAAAAAAAATACTAACGACGTCAAAGAAATAAATTTAATAATAGATATAGTGCGCATAAGTGCATAAGGTTAATTATTGAAGAAAAATAAATATAATACTCCTTTGTATAGATTGTATATGATTGATTTGACAATAGAACAGGTCAAAGCATATCTATTCATATTATTTGCCTTAATGAAAGTTTGACTCTTGAAAACAAAAATTAATCAAACTTTCTTATCGTTTTTATGGAATACACAGTGGCTTCGAAAATTATTCAATCAGATTTATTTTCAATTTTTTCTCACTTCTGCGAACGTTTATTAGAATCTAAATAATAATTTGTATAAAAAATTTTATTTTGAATAAGAATTTTTCAAACTTAAAATGATGCTAGCTTTTCCAGAATAGGATCTCTGAAAAACAGTAGCTCGAGTTTTTTATTTCCTGATATTTAAAAATACAGTTCTGTTTGAATTATTTAGAATGATAGAACACATAATGCTCTACAAAATAAAACATCTTCCAGCTCTTAATGTTGTTTTCTTCATCTACTAGATGCATCAGTCTTACGGAAGCCATACAAATGATGTTATAATATGAAATAGTAGAAAAATGACTTTTATGACTTCCGTAAGACTGATGTATCTATTAAATCAAAAAACATCGTAGAGAGCTGAAGGATGCTTCATTTGGTAGAGAATTGTTAGCTCTCTCATGCTGAGCAATTCCAACGGAATTTTAATTGGAAATTTCAGGAGGTGAAGAACTAGGGCTACCGTGTTTCATAGGTCATATCCTTGAACAGCTAGTAATCAATTTCATCGAAAAAAGTTCATATTGGAAATAAAATTTTCTATAGAAATTATTATTTGGACTCTTTTTAGTGTTAACAGCAGTGAAAAAATTTGAAAATAAACTTTGTCGAATAATTTTGGGAGTTACTATAATTATTTTTATATTATAGACTTAGAATATTGTTATTGTTAACTAGTAGATAAATTCTTGTCTTCATTCATCAAAATATTATTTCATTAGGTAAATGCACAGCTGTGAATCATTGACATATTATTCATGCTATAATTGATCTTTTTCAAAAAATCTATTCTAATAGTAATGAAAAACAAATCAGTTTTATCAATTGAAAACTAAAGTGCAAAGAAGTTATGTCGTCCTATAGAAATCGACTTTTTCGCATTTGATACATCATTTGCTAGAAAAATTTATTAGATTCATATTTTTCAATTATTCATATTAACAATTGCCATTGTCTTCTTTGAAGGGATATTAAAAAATCATAGCGGAATATATGTCATAGGTGAATTTTCAATAGAATGAATTGTATCTCAAATCACAACTGATCCTCATTAATTCAGTAGCACAATATAGCAACAAATAATATGAATATTGAATAAATAGTCAATAAATTTATTTATTCATCCCTATTCCTATAATAAATAATGGTTTTAAAACAATTTTTCGACCAGAAAACTTATCTAACGGGTGACCCATAATAAATGGTCGCGTTTTTCATTTTATTCTTTCATCATGTACGTAATAAGTTTTATTAAAAAGAAAAATGTATCATAAGATGCAACGTGAAAAGCTCTGTAATTTATATAATTTAAGACCGATTATTTTATAGTTGTTCTTTTTGCTTTCAAAACGGCAAAATTTTGTGCGACCAAATTTCAACCATGCGAACATTGGTCACACAAAATTTTGCTGTCTTTGAGAACAATTAGAATAAGCTTTACTGTGTAAATTGTAGAGCTTTTTATGCTGCATCTAGTGGCATATTTTGTTTTTTTGTTATGAAGACATATTAGATGACAAAAAAGAAGAAAGAAGAAAAAAAGGAATTTCTCGTTCGTGTAGAAAAAAATGATTTTTTGCAACGACGAAACTTGATCGCACACAATTTTGCTTATTTTAAAAGCAAAAAATGCATATATAAAATAAGCTATGCTTTGTAGATTGTAGAACTTTTCATGCGGCATCTTGTGGTGTATTTTGTTTTTTTTTACGCAAGCATATAAGGCAATAAAAAGATGAAAGAAGAAAAAAAACAATTCTCGTTCATATAGAAAGAATGATTTTTTCGCAATGACGAAAATGGGTTTGAGAGAATTTTGCTTTTATTGAAAACAAAAAGTATAGAATTAAAATGAGCTTTACTTTTTGTAGATTGTGAAGCTTTTCACGTTGCATCTTCTGACAAATTTTGCTTTTCTCTTGAAAAAGTATATCAGGGAATAAAAAGATGAAAAAACAAAAACTGAATTCGTCCTGTATCAAAAAAATTTATCTTTTTCCCACGGTCGAAATTCGGTCGCTCAAAATTTTGCCCGTTTTGAAAGCAAACAGGGTAACTATAGAATAATCGGTCTTATGTAAATTATAGAGCTTTTTACGCTGCATCTTGTGGTACATTTTGCTTTTTAATAAAACTTATTACATGATGA